CACCATGCAATGCTGAGAAATACTACTTGGGGATCAATAAGGCCTGGAAGTGTCTTGGATCCTAAGCATACAGAAAGCTCCCTGATAGGATCAGATCAATTGTAAGTAAACAGAAGTGCTCCATCAAAAAGCCATGCGCCACAGCAGCCCAATTAAAGACATCATCATTTCTTGTTTCCATACAAAAGATAAGATTACATGTTTTCAAAATAAGAGAACTGAAACCATTGTCTTCATATCTTACAGGATTAAAAAAAACCAAGCTATAATAGTTGTAAACATCAGTTTTCCATAGCATTGTTGGAAGCAATTCTATCTGGGTTCAATTCCAAGTGGGAAAAAAGACACTGGAAACATGGAGATTGCTTGGAAAGTTGGTTTAATGGTGGACAGGACCACATGGTTTGAGGTCTTTATACCCTCACTTGGGCCCCGCCTTGGAGCTTCCTGTTCCTGTATTCTGAAATGTATTCTGATTGGTTGTAAGACTCCCATGGGGCCATGCAGGGATAGCTTTGTAGGTTGTCTTGAGTTCCAGGCTTGGTTGAATCTTGCTGGGTGATGTAATCTTCCCAGGTGTCATGTGTTGAGATGGGTAGAGGGCTAATCCTATTATGTCCTGAGGGTGAAAGTCTTTTGTGTTGTAGATAAGCTGGCCCAGCCTTTCTGGGGCTATTAACAAAGATGGGGACTGCTTTCCAAGAGCATGTTTCTCCTTTTCTCATCCAGGGAGGTATAATATTCTGCCTTTTAAATATTTCCTAGATTATTTCATTCTTTTAGGAGAGGGGTGGGTTCTAACTTCCTACAGCATGTTAGGGAATTTGGAAGAGCCACAAGAATATGGTTTTGAAAACCTAATTGCAATAGTTAAAAAAGTAAACATCCCAAATTCATAACACTGCAGCTCAAGCCTACAGGCTAAGAAGAACACACATTTCATTACATAATGCTCTCCAAATGAGCACAAAATGATTTACTAGAAAAATGAAATGCAAACTGAAAAATAAAAATAGCCTAAATTAGTTGGAAGCAAATTCATCAGGAAGAATCAAATGTCATAATAAAGAGGCATATCTTAATTATTTCTTTTTTTTAAAACAAAAAACTAAATCACCTTCAAATTTGTCTCATGGGCAGATCCATGACATTTTTTAGAAAATAGCATGAAAGGGGTTTGCCATTGTCTTCTTCTTCCAATTATTTTTTAGAATTCCCAATCTAATTTGGGACTAATAAGAAAAAAAATGCACCTAGCAGAGCAGAACATGGTACAAGTGTGCATGGAATTGCTGCTAACCCATATCTAACGATCAGCTGTGATCGTCAGAAGCTTTTTTTTTTTTACCTTTTAAAAGCATTTGTTTTATAACCTCTTCGGCCAAAGAGGTTGTAGAAAAAATGCTTTTAAAAGTAAAAAAAAAGCCTCTGATGATCGCACTCAGCTGGGCATGGGGGTGGCCAGAGATTTTTGCTACTGGTTCTCCGAACCACCCGCCGCCATTGCTACTGGATCGGGCAATCTGGTCCAAACCGGGAACATTTCACCCTTGGGTTTATTCCTGTGATACAAGTGTCTACCTTATTAGGAAGTCAAAATAATTGAATATAATGTGTTTTACTTCCACACAGATTAATATAGAATAACATCATAAATGGTTAATGAATTTCATGAATTTCGTAACATTACTCTTGAAATTCCGTAGGCATTTATGATGCAACTCAGTTTCGCTATATGCAGTGAACGATGCTTCTAGATATTAGTGCATGGCTACCAGTCTTGGGCTGAAATCCTATCTGTTGACATACTGAGATATATAGGATCCCATTCTTAATGTGTTAAGGTAGCAAACTTTCCATGTTTATTATTATTATTTGCATAGAGTAGGCTCCCAGTCACAGATAGTCAATATAAATTGAAGCTTGAAATCACAGCATATTCACTATTTTCTTTTGAACTACAAAGTGACACAAATTCCAATTGTGTTTCTCTCTCCTTTCTATAATGTGTATCTTCACTAGTTCTGTCCATTTCACTAGGGTTCCATTATGTCTGTTTTAGCTATATTTCAGCATTTCTTCATAACATTTAACCAACATTAATGCCAACATATACTATGACCATTGATTCCTCCCTTGTCCATTTTTCAGCCAAGTTAGATGAAGTGACATCTGCTTGCTGTATAAAAGATACACAAATCACTATGAAGTCTAGACTCCAATCACAAATCCATCTCTCAGATGATCCTACATCCACAATCACAAATCCGTAAGCAAATAAATCCTCAATGGCATTTCCTGTTTTAGGGTGTGCTATATAAAGGTTAACGGAGATTGATAATATTTTACTTTTTCAATGCCGCTTGGCGTTTAGATTTCCATTTTTCTGTTCCATGTACAGTACAATGCAAGTTTGCTGCCTTTATAAAATCTTTGTGATAATTAGTAAGAAGTGGAATACACAAGTCTAGTTAGGACATAAGTCACTCATAATTAGGTTTGCCCTTTGAAAAGAGCCATTAAATAAGGAACTCAGGCTACCAGGCCAGGTTCAACTGGTCTTTTAATATTATGTAGCAGAATACTAATTTTGATGAAAAAGATATCTCAAGCCTGCTCTTTAATTTGAAAGTTATAACATACCTTGAAAATCATTGAATTGAATAGTAAAGAATCAAGGTAATTAAAACTGCAGCACTATAAATATCCTTCCGTCCCAACCAATTCAAAATCTGGAAACTGGTAGAAAATGGGCTGCATTCAGAACTATTTTTCTAGAAGAATTTGCTAACTCCATCTTACTGGTCACTCTTTCCCTTTAATCTCTAACAAAGGGGTTTAAAAATATTTCGGTTCATTGCCAGCTGTTCAAAATGTGTGTTGTTGCATTTCCAGAAAGATAACTCTTCCATTAGCTAGCTTTCTTCCTCTGGAGGGAACATCCTTTATAATATAACTGTAATTGGTTCCATATGAACACTTTCCCCTTTCCTTTCCAGTGCCTTATTAACTCCTTCCTTCCTCCTTAGACGTCTGCTGCAGCTTCAGTTCTATTCATGCTCTGCAGGTGAATTTGCAAGGAAGATAACCTAACTTTGTTTTATTTTGTTAAATCATCCAGATGAATTGAAGTCTTTCCCATCTTGGGAATTTTGGGTACTGTAGTCCCAACAGATATGAAAGGACCAGATCTCAGAATAGATTGGCTTTGACCAGGCAGACAGACTAAATGCTATGTGAAAACTCAAAACTGTTAAATATTACAGCGTTTTGATGGAAACATGTTCCAGAATACCAGAACCAGAATATTTTGACAAAGTTAAGGATTATTTTATTAGATTTATATATTGCTTTTAATTAGCGGTTCAACAATGTATGCATAGCTCTTCCTTCATTACTTTCCCCCCAACACTCCAGTGACATAGATTGTGCTAAAAGAGAACGACTGACCCAGTGAGCTTCCATGGCTGAGGGAGAACTGGAACTTGATTTCCTCCATTCATAGCCCAACCCCTTATCCTTATGATAAACACCATGTTTACAAATGGAGTGGGAAGAGCATGGAGATTAAATATTTTGGGGCTCTTTTCAAGAAGTTACAGGTGCTTGCCCAAGAGAGTATTTATTTAGTTTCCTTAAGGCAAAACCAGCTGTTTCAGATTTGTATATACTCAAATGTTTGCCCAAGACCACACACACACACACACACAGAAGAATAATTTAATGCACTACAAATGATGAGGGCTTGATCAAAAGGATGGAGCGGTCAAGTAGTAAGAATATTTCAAAGATTATCTGCTAGGAGGAAGATTCAAAAAGCAAGAAGGTGGAATTGGAAACAACATCAGCTATACAAACTTCACTCTTTTTTGTATATGCATTGATGTCACAGACATGTGTAAAAAGGGGTTTACATTGTGACTAGAATTCCACCATCTCTTTTGGTGAACACTTTTCCTAGGGTTCACACAACTTACTAGCTCATGATTGACCACCTTAGTTTCTGGAGTTAACATGGATTTACATGATTTAATGGCGCATAAATTAACTTTATTAAAACTTCCACAGTACATTGAGCTACAAGTCAAAAAACACATCCAAGTTTAAAATATTCTGCGATATTCTGTCTTTGCATTTATTTGCCTACATTGAGTAAATTTGCAAAATATATTTAACTGGTAATTTTTAGGTGCAATGCATTGTGCAAATACACAAACTGAATGTATATCCAAATGAGAACCATTCTAGCATCACGGCATCCTAAGTAAATCATCAATTAAGACCTCTCCCAGTGAAGCCTTGTTCTAGAAACCTCTTCAATTCCTGCTTATATTTCAAAGCCAGGTATGTGGACAGGTGTAGAGCAGCTGAAAATACAAGGCGTTCATTAATTATGAAGTTGGCTGCTAAGGGCCATGCAACAATAGCATGCCATACCCCTTCCAAAATTGCTTGGCTGCCATACCCATCATTTCCTCTTTCAACCAGTCATATTGCTGTAGTGAAGTTATCAGTGCTCTCCTGGAACAAAGGCTGGTGGGAATACCAGAGAGGACAAAATATTGAGAAACGCTATTTTCCCAAAACGGTTAAACCTTGCTCTGGGTTAACAGGGGTGTGTGTTGCCACCTCCAATAAAGAGCAGCTATGGCGGGAATTACAGATTATTGTGGCTCAAGAATATTATGCAGATGCAGTCCATATTCCACACCAAGAACTTTGGTTCTTCAAAGAATACAACAGAGAACCCCGAGAGGGAGAAAGAACAATAGCTGGGAATTATTTTCACACGAGTAACACGCGATGCAAAGTTGCAAACCGACCAGAAAGGCCTAACGCCGTTGACTCCCAATAAACATTCGAAGCGGCGTCACAATGCCCCGCTCGCTCTTTCCCCTCGTTTCGAGCCCCCTCTGCAAGCTTGCGTTGCATGCTGGGACTCGTAGTTTTCCCTAAAATTAGACGTGCGTGGGGGTGGGGTGGGGAGCAGAATTGTGTCTGCTCCGCCGATTGAACGGCAGTGACCGGTGGAGTTTTCCTTTGACTCCTCCGTTTTTCCGTAGGTGCTCGGGAGAAGGCGAGAGAGAGAGCCTGGGCTATGATATCGAAACTGCCGCGACTTCTTTTCCGGACTGTCCGCTCCGTTCGCTTCGCCGCGGGGGCAGCTGGGTCCTCTATTCCCCAGATCCCCTGGGCGCCCCCAGAGGTGGGACGGGGATCTCTGTTCTCCGGCGCCGTTATGGCTGCACAGGGATCCTCCCCTCTCCGGGCGGATTCCCAAAGGCTGGAAGCGAAGGAGGAGGAGGAGGAAGCTGGGCGAGGAGGAATAGGAGGAAAAGTTCAGCCTCCAACTGAGAGCAAGCAGTTGTCACAACAGATCGGTGAGGAGGAGATAATGAATGCTAGCCACGGCCCCAAAGCCAAGAGAGGAGCGTCCGGCAGACCCACCCTCCTATTCAACTTTTCCTTCCTTAACGTGGGAGGTGGTGGGGGTGGGGGGCACACTTCCATTTTGCCTCTCACAGTTTGGCAGTGGCAGATAATGAAACCTCCCTTCCTCGTCTAAAACTTGTGCAATGTTTTGTTCCGGCGCTTAGTTAACCCAAAAAGGGAGCTCGGTCATCATAAGGGCATCAGGATCTCTCTAGAGCAGTGGTTCCCAACCTTTTTTTTGTTTTTTGGCCATGCCCCACCTAAGCGTCTCTAAAATCCTTTTTAAAAAAAATATTTATTTGCATTTATAGTTAAAAGGAAAACAAAAAAGAACAAGACAAAAAAAAAAAGTAAAGCGAAAAAAGAAAGTATAAGAGAATATAAACAATACATTGGTAAACCAATATTTAACGTAAATCTGTACAATAATAAATTCATAATACAGTCCAGAGGAGACAGGACCACCTATTTTATACTTATAAACTAATCAAATCTATCCAACCTCACTCTACATATGCAATACAGCAGTTTCAATATATACGCTTGCTTATATTAATCAGACTGCTGTCTTCTATTTAGCAACTCTAAAATCCTGATCCCCCCCCCACATATAATTCTTCAAAAAGTGCTCCTACTCATGCGGAGGAAGCCTAAAATGCCATTAACTTGGTTTAAACAGGGTTCCAATTGCCCCCATTAAAAAATCAAAGTGCCCTCTTGTAGGGTGTGGGCTCCACGTTGGGAACCACTGCTCTAGAGAGACCACCCGATATGAGAAAGAATAATTATGAGCGTTCCCCAAGTATTATGAATAATTATTCCACAAAGGGGATGATAATCCTGCTAAAAGAAATCAACGAATTGGGCTGAGAAGACTTGAGTAGAAAACCTTGCAAGGATCTTATTTGAGTCCAATTCAAACTTCTGGATGTTATACAGACATGTCCCCCTTTGCTTTCTTGGCAAGAGTACAAAGTGACTTGCCACTGTCATCTCCTTTAAAAAAAAAATCAGTCTAGCTTGCTATCCGGATGTTTTCTGATGGCCTCTTTTCCAATTTAGTGACCAAGTCTAATCCTGCTACTGGTTTATCATGTAACTGGCAGCTGGAGGTTACCACTAGGAATGGGAGTTATGATGGGCTTATTGAAGTGTAGTAAGTCAGCATTTTAAATGCATAAACATGCCGCTATTTATTAACCCATGCTTTTTAAGCAAACAGTTGATAAGGGTAATAAAATCTCAATTTGAACAATTTTTCTGTGCCCCAGATTGGCACAGAAAGTAAGCAAAGCTTTAGAAGTCACTGCATTTTGTTCATTAAGTCACCTTTTGGTTTACATGTATTACTTCATGTGGGCATTTTGTTCTTTTTTTAGTGGGCATAACACATGAATTGATTTTCTTTCACCGTATGTTTATCTTGTTAGAGAAATTTGACTAAAACTTGGTGGTATGTGATAAACTTTATGGGTCAATATGAAGTTGAATTTTGTATCCATGTTATTCCATTATCTCAAACGGTTTTAGTTTGCATCAAAATTACAGATGCTTTTTGTGGCCCTGCCCTTCCATTTTCTCATAGAAACCAATTTACTGAGGGAAATTAAAAGTGTCTTATCTTTTAAATCCACTTAGAAAGCAAAGTGATATTAATATCTGGACTGCTTTAACAGCTGCCAGCAAGTCAGGCTTTGTAATAGATTTTTAATACAGTTTGGGGGAAAGGTGAGGTGCATTCATATTTACTACCTAATACAGCAATTATTCAGGTACAGGTAGTTCTCAACTTACAACCGGTTTAGCACTGGTTTCAAGTTACAACAGTACAGTATTGAAAAAAACTGACTCGCACTTACAACTTTCACAGCATCCTCATAATCATATGATCAAAATTTGGGTGCCTAGCAACTGGCAAGTATTTACAATGGTTGTAGCATCCTGGGGTCATGGGATCACCATTTGTAATCTTCCCAGTTGTCTTCTGACAACCAAAGTCAATGGAGAAAGCCAGATTCACTTAATAACCATATAATTCACTTAATAACCACAGTGATTCGCTTAACAACCACAGCAAAAAAGGTAAAACCAGATATGGTTCAATTAACAACCACTTTGATTAGGAACAGAAATTGTGGTCGTGAGTCAAGGGCCACCCGTATTAAAATGTTGCCTGTTTCTTAGTTACAGACAACCAAAACAGAGTACTTTTCTTTCATTGAGTGATACTGAAAACTGTTCCAAAAAAATATTGTACAATGCAGGATATGCTGACATAAACCCTAGTTCCTAGTTAACAACCGGTACTCTCAAGGACAGGTATGGTAGCACAGATAATGAAGAAATACCTATCTTGGGAGATGCATGGGTTGAATCACGGTATATTTTATTATGCTCCTAATATTTGTGATTAGCATTTGATTCTACTCACAGATCCAGGTAGTATAGCTTCATCAAAGCCTATCTGAAGCGTTCCAGAGTTCAAAATTTCTAATAATTAAGGATTACATGCTTCTGTATGCAGTAAGAACAACCTTATTATAAAACCATATGTTGACTATTCCTGAGAGTGTGTTTGTATTTTAGAAATTGAACATTTATGATAGAATCTGGTTTAAATCGCTTTTTCTCAGTAATAAGGAACAGAACAGCCTATGAATCTTTGCAGTAGATTCTCCAGGTCAAGCTCAATTCCTGATGATATAATGAATAGATTCTTATGATTTTATTGGTAACAGTCCCAGATGTGGTTTGCCATAGGCATTTTCTAATGTGTTGTTTTGATTTCTCAATCTAGTCTACATCTTTTGTATTCCCTAGATGCCTTCCATTCGAATAGTAGCCACACCCCTGCTTCTCCACAATTAAAAATGCATCTTCAGTTTGAAAACAAGGAAAGAACAATATATTCTGTGAAGTCCTAGGCGTACAGTACTCAATTAGAGATTATCATTGTTTTATAACAATACGGTCATAGAGTTGAATCATTGAGGCTATTCAATTCAACCTGCAACTTAAAGCTTAAAACTTAAAACTTAAAGGAAACTTAAAGCTTTTCAGTCCCTGACACTATCAGAAAATGAGAGCAAAAGCTTTCAATATTAGAGGTATATAGATTGGATTGCAAAGTATAATTGGTCTTTTTTGTGAATGAAACTTTTACAAAAAAACCTATCTTTAATGAAAGCTATAGGGCAATAAATGACAATAACCAACTTACGTGTTGGAGTAACATATGATCTATCTATCTATTGTTGTTAACCAGCAGACTATCCACTCATGACTATGACTCACTTGTTTGTCTCATCCTTTTTTGATGATTTCCCTTGAGAGAAAGAATACCTGCCTCACTTGCTAATACGGCAAATCATTTTGTTCAGCAGTTTCTGCTTCCTTGTGTATTGATTATTCATAGCATTTATATTTATATAATGGCCAAACCACACATTTCTATGTGTTGCAAATGGGGCAATTAAGCTCTGATACAAAGCCATCAGGGAAATTCATCTTCCCTTTTTGTTTGTTTGTTTGTTTCATTAAATATTATCTTCATACAGGACCAAAAGTATCTGGTCAATAAAAGACAGTTGCCATAATAGCCCTTTTACTTGTAATAATTTTGGAAATTTAAGATGGCAAACTAGATTTGGTCAGTGATAGTGCACCTAAAAGGAACTGGTGATCTATGTCCCAATAAATTGCCCACATGGTGCCTACATTTGTAAGCTTTTAGCTGCCTGTCTAAAACAGAGCAACTGAAATTCATGCCTCTGATTTTGGGGCAGGCAATTTTTCTTCTCCCTTCCCCTCCCCTCCCCAGATAAAAAGGCACATTGTGGTTTTAAAACCATTAACCTGTTGAAGACAGGATTGTTCAGCTAGGATGTTCATCTTAGCATTTCATACAAGAGAAATCTTTTTTTCCCCCAATTGGTCGCCATCTAACAGCTATTACAATTTCTGTACAGCTTCCAGGAGCAGTTATCCTTTCCTTGTTTTTTGAACACTGAAGCCAATTAGCTTGTAATCAGGTGGCTTATCTCCCCTAGCGCTAGGGATGAGGTATCCAGGAAACACTATCCAGGACACTAATAATCTGGATGAAATGTTTGGGTTTTTTCACACTCCATCTATCAAGCCACTGTTTTCTTTTTATGTCTTAAGAATAGAATGTGCTCCTCTACTGCCAAATTCCCTCTGGATAAGAAGTGGAATACCCAACCTTGACAATGAGATGTGTCTTTCTGCAGTAATGGGAGATTTTTTTTTACTTCACTCTGAAATTCTTGCATGAGGCCCCAGAGGCCGTGTGAGAGCAGGTGAGCTCGAGTATAGAGGGTCTAGAGGCCTGGGGTCAGTGGTGGATTGCCCCCGGTTCGGACCGGTTCACAAGAACCAGTAGTAAAACCGACGGGAGACCCTGCCCACTGCCCGCACACGATCCCGTTGCGAACCAGTAGTAAAAGTAAGTAGAACCCACCCCTGCCTGGGGTGTTATCAGAAATGGCATGGCATATCACCTGTAGATTGCCATTACTGCTCTAGTGTAAAAAGCCTCAAGAAAAGAAAAAAAAGCCAAACACCAAAGAATTCTAAGCCCTCTTTTTTTTAAAGGTGCTAAACCAGGGGTGGTATTCACTTACCTTCGCTACCAGTTCGCAAATGGGAGCGCACGCACCACCTCCGCGCATGCACAGGGCCTTCTGTGCATGCGCAGAGCATATAAAACGGGACGTGATGGCAAGTGGGCAGAGCCCCCCGTAGCCGCCACTACCAGTTAGCCCGAACCAGATAGAACTGGCTGAATGCTAAACATAATATTTGTACAGCACATGGTATAATCAAAGTAGCATGGAATTCTGGAAAACACTTGAAGGATATATAAAAATATGGCTAATAAACTTAATGTAGTGATACGGAGCAAAACTTAAACATGTTAGGTCAGTTTATTGCTTTTCAGGATGGAATCCTGTGCTCATTTTTCCTAAACCCAGCCTTGGGGAACTCGGCAAGGTTTCCGAGATTCCCTAACAAATCTCTCTAAATCTGCTTAGATTTGCAACCTAGATCAAAATGAAAAACAATTCTCTCAATTCCTCTGTTATGTGGTTGTTTGATAAGCATCATTACAAGTCACTAAGTAATGGATAAGAATATAATTGAATCATGGCTTTGGGTTATGTCCATGTTTTGAGTTTATTTAAAAGTATGTGTCACACCTTTTATCGTAAGTTTCCCAAATAGGTCTAAATAAGAAATGAGCGAGAACCAATAAAATCTGAAGCCAAACAAGTGATAATATTGTTTCCATTTAACAGTTCCAGCTATGAGAAGCCTTTGAATGTATCTTGGCTGAATCATTTTTTTCAGTGCAGAACTGAGTCGCCAACCTTTCTTCACATTAATAGAACACTGTTAATAGCTTACTTAGCCATACCCAGAGAAATTTATTCTAGTTTCACAGCTTTAAAAATCAGAGCAAGAGAATTACTCTAAACTGAAGATTGTTATGAAAGACTTGAGTCAACTTCATCCCTTCAAATGAGGATCAAAATATATATGTATATCTCTTATTGCAATGTATTTAATGCTTTAAAAAGTCAGTTAAATGTGCAAACTGGAGAAATAAGCAAATGCTGGAGAACCTCTGATATTGTGCTTGAAAAACTGCCTTGTAATGAGCTTGTAGTCTAGGACAGAATTTTATTGGTGAAGGTTTAATCAGCGATGAAATCTAAAACCAAATTCATTGTATTAAATGTATTCCAGATGGAAAACAAACTGTGGAGTGCAAGAAAAAAGAACGGAAAAAGCAAAAGAAGAAACCATACAGCTCTAACAATGCAATTGATAACTTGATGGCGGAAATGCCATTTGCTGGAGCAGATATTGAACTTGAACTTAGCAGTAAGTTTAGTAGAATAGAACTCTGAAACTTCGTTAGATTGGATATTCACATTGTAGTTAAGCGAACAGGTACCATTTAGTCCAGATTTCTTCAAAAGAAAATTTCCCTAACTTTTGCCATTTCAAATTCCAGGTCTTTTTAATTCTTCCTTTCAAAATGGCTAGAGGTTTCCTTTTTCTGAAATATATTTGAATTCCAAGTAATTCAGCATAAGAATTCTTTCTATGAAGCAAAAGCTTGCTGCTTTCTAATGCTTGCTGGTGCTAACCTTGTAGGGAAATGCCACAAAAGGGCAATTTCAATAATGAAAAATGCAGTTAAAACATTTAATAAAGAAAGACGGATTGCTTTATTATACCAGAGGCAACTAACTAAAAGATTAAGTGTGACCAGAGTGTATGAACACAGAACTAATTAAAGCTTTAGGAGCAGAGCAGAAGGAAGTCTTAATAAGTACCTGCAAAGGCCACCTGGAACCGAATGATGTTATAATTTGAGTTTTAAGTTTCAAAACATACAAAGCAAACAAAGGGTACGCTCACACAAGCACTCTGAAAAAATGACATGGATTTAAGGTGCCCCAGACAATACTGGAATACAATAATTTTGAAGCAACATTGTATGAGTGTCTCATAAAAGAAAAAATGAACGAACAAGTGCCCCTTTTGGAAACAAAAATATTTCCTAATCATCTTGACCCCACTATGTTTTATGTTTATAACAGGTAGAAACTTTTCAAACTTTGAATTTTTGGTGCTTTTTTGGCCACGAAAATGTTTGTTTGGGGCAGGCAGGAGATTTTCCCATTAATGTATTAGAGGTTGAATTGAGGGAAAAAACATTAGTAGGATTAAGCAAACTGGTACCAGATATTCTACGCTTTAGAGTTCTTAGTGGTCTCTTAGTTTGGTTGTTTGCTTACAGACATTTCATTACTTGACTAGATCATATCAGTGCTAGGGATATGGGGTTTCCTCCCCACCATAGCTTGCCTACCAGTGTTGATGGGGGTGTGGTTTTCTCCTTGACAGTTTCTTCATTTAGGGCAAGGTGGATAAAAATCAATGATTTTTTTTAAAAAATCAAAAAAATCAGATTTTTTAAATTTAAATCGGATTTTTTTTTATTTTTATCGAATTTATTTTAATAAACTTTTGGGGTAAAAATCTATCGTAAGATAGTTTTCTATTTAAGATGCATAAATAGTTTAGTTTATTCAGCATGAAATGGAGCTTAGTTATGTAGCATGAGGCTGTATATTCTGCAACACTGGGACTATCGGTGAGTCAACAGTGGGTCAAAGGAGTAGCAGAGATGACAGTTGCTCTTTAAAAATTATGATTTAAATCGAGTTGATTTAAATCAAGCCTTTTTACTAGTGATTTAAATCATGATTTAAATTGTGATTTAAATCAACTCGATTTAAATCAAATCCACCCTGATTTAGGGTATTGGTTTTTGCTAGATTGCTTGTCTTGAACACCGATGTGTACTTAAACACATCCTCTGCAGCAATCAACACCCAGTTTAAGACCAGATGAGCAATCTAGCAGAAGGCAAAATAGCCTAATCAAGGAACTAGTAAAGAGAAAATCATATCCCCACATACGCTGGCAGGCCAAACTGTTGTATACAACAGGTAGCAAACTTCATGTTCCCTAGCACTGGTGATGTTATCTTGTCGGGTAATGAAATATCTACAAGCAAACAGCAAGCTTAGAGAGCACCAAGGAGGCCACAATTCAACTCTGAACTACACATATTCCCTTCTATTGGATTCTTGGCTTTAGTTAATCATTAGTTATTGCCAGTACAGCCAGTGGCAAGGAATTTCAGTCCAAAATATGTAGCAGCTCCAGGTTTTTAATCCTGGACTGGGACCAGATTTGTACTTAGCAGTGTTTTGTTGGGTGTTTTAAACATTGAAAAAAGAGGGCAATGTGGCCTTTGTTTTTAGTTCTTCCTTCCTTCTGCACTCCTTAGCATTACTTCCAAGGGTGGGTGTCTATGGAGATTCTTGACCATCCAGGTCGTGCGTGTCCCAAAGGTGCTTTTCAAAAGGCGCCTGGACTTCCATTGTTTTGATTGAAGACATTTCGCTTCTCATCCAAGAACCTTCTTCTCAATTCTGCCTTTCAGTTCAGAACTAAGGAAGCTTCTTGGATGAGAAGTGAAACACCTTCAAGCAAAACAAAGAAAGTCCAGTTGCGTTTTGAAAAAGCACCTTTGGGACTTCCACGGACAGAGGAACATCTTATTTATTTATTTATTATTTAAATTTGTATACCGCCCTTCTCCCGAAGGACTCAGGGCGGTGCACAGCCAAAATTAAAATACATACAATACAACATTTAAAATAATTTAAAAGCAGAATTAAATTAAATTGGCTTCTCAAAATATTAAAACCCATTACCCTTAAAATAACCCTTTTAAAATTTTAAGCCAGCCCAGCTTGCTGGAATAGGAAGGTCTTCAAAGCTCGATGGAAGGTCCGGAGGTCCGGGATTAGTCGTATTCCTGGGGGTAGCTCGTTCCAGAAGGCGGGTGCCCCCACAGAGAAGGCTCTCCCCCTGGGGGTCGTCAGTCGACATTGCTTGACCGACAGCACCCTAAGGAGGCCCTCTCTGTGGGACCGAATTGGCCGGTGGGAGGTTATCGGTGGCAGAAGGTGGTCTCGCAAATAGCTGGGCCCTAAGCCATGGAGCGCTTTAAAAGTGAGAACCACTACCTTGAAGCGCATCTTGAACAGAATAGAAGTGTTATTGTTTCTGACTAAGAAAGGATGAAACTTTAGCATTTGGATTTGAAAATGAGGATAAAATAATGTCTGAATGGCCTTTTGATGTTGTATTTATCAGATGTTACGCATTGTTCTACTTACATGTGCTTACAGTATAATAACTCTTTTGCTTTCTATCCAGCCTCAAGCAAATCTAAACCATCTGTTAAAAAGAAGAGAAAGAGAATAGCTGGAAAAGGGAGTGAAGAAGACAGTACAATAATGAAGAAAAAGAAAAACCAAGACAGACCCAATTATTTCATTTCTGTTCCAATCACAAATCCAAAGGTTATATTTTTTTTTCTTAAAATCTACTCTTTTAGTAGCTAAAATGGCATACAGTTAATAAATCACAGTTTAGTTCTAATCACAACAATCTGTTTCATATTGTTGGCACAGGAATTCCACTGATTAAAAATCATGTTATCTAAAAAAGGCTCACCTATTCTGATTACAACAGTGACATCAAAGATAAATTTAATAAGAGGGTGGAAGGAGTGAGGAAAATAAGAGGGTAGTTTGAAAACAGGAAGATTTTTGAGAAATAATTATCTGCCTAACTAGCATTTTTTCTTTCCCTCATATTATCCGAGTTTGTATAACATGCTAGGTTAAAATATGGCTGTTGAGTTTGTTCTCAATGTTTTACTTTATAGTTTGTTGTGTTTCATAAGCCTAGGCAATTAGGATGATTCTCACAATTGTTACAGAATACAACTGGTAGAGTATACTTAGAGCTAAGAATACAACTAGCTGAAAGGATCTATTGAGTTATTTCATCTTGTAGAAAATAAGATCCTGATGAAGGAAGGCTCCAGTCAGACAAGGTACTTACAATATATGTAGAGTCGTGGTGGTGCAGTGGTTAGAATGCAGTACTGCAGGCTAAGTCAGTTCACTGCCAGGAGTTCGATTTTTACCGGCTCAACTTCCATTCTTCCAAGGTCAGTAAAATGAGAACCTGGATTGTTGGGGCAATAGTCTAACTCTGTAAACTGCTTAAAGAGGGCTGTAAAGCACTATGAAGTGGTGTATAAGTCTAAGTGCTATTGCTATCTGGGATATTTCCTCTCTTAGCTGGACCTTTTCTTTCAACTCTCATGGCTGCGTACAGTATTCTAATAACTAAGATAATTGGTCATGTTATTTTATATATACCGTGTCTATAACCTGATTGTAAAGCATTTCTTGTTACTCTTACCAGGAAGGCATGATCTGAAGAAAGCTGGAAAGTCAGTAATAGATGGATGGATATATTTTTTTAGGTTCCCCCACTTTAATCCTGACTTGAAATAATTTGATTACTGCTTTTCTTAAGTGTTGACCAAAATGACAGGGTGAACAGGCTAATCTTGAAAAGCTAATCGGGGTCAGATCTTGGACTCCCTGGATACATTCAGGGTCACAAGTTAGGTTGTAAATTTAAAAAAGACTTTCAGAAAAACATACTGGCAGATCACATCTATATTGTGGTCAGGAAACCCTGGCAATGAAATTTGCAAGAGCCAAGCTCCGTTCAAAGAATCGACTTTACAGTAAAATGAATACTTTTATTTGAGCCAGTTCTTTACCATACTATATAATATTCTTTGAATTTCTATTCCCCTTAAATTTGCACTCATTTGTTGTCATTTGGAGGCAATAGCCCTAAACTAATAGTTCTTAGTAAGCACAGTGATACAAGCAGTCCTTGACTTAACAACCATTTGTTTAGTGATTGTTTGAATTTACAACAGCACTGAAAAAAAGTGACTTATAACTGTTTTTCACAATTACAACCATTGGAGCATCCCGATGTTCATGTGATCAAAATTTGGCCCTTTGGCAACTAGTATTACATTGTCCTGGGGTCCTGTGATCACCATTTGTAACCTTCCCAGTTGGCTTCTGACAAGCAAAGTCAGTGGGGGAAGCCACATTCATTTAAGGACCATATGATTCACTTAACAACTTCAGCAATTGGCTTAACAGTGGCAAAAAATGTAATACAATGAGGCGCAATTCACTTAACTGCCTCAATTAGCAGTGGAAATTTTGGGCTCAATTGTGGTCGTAAGTGGAGGACAACCTATAGTTAGGCTTAACTCTACAAATGATCCATACTGTTGTTCTAGGCTTGCAGGAAAGAGAATCTTATGATGGGAATTAGGAGATACATTAAATTGAAACTGCAGTGTCTTGTTGCGGTTCCAGATATGATATTTGGAAACTTGTTTTTTATTAAAACAAGGCAGTTATGTTCATACACTAAATTGTAATTAATCTTAACTGATTTCTTTGACCTCGTCTTACTTCAAACCAAATATACTCGACTGAATATTATACTTTCCTGCTGCTTTCAGATCAAAAGGTAAATCATCTTGTAAAGTGTTTCTTAAGTTTTATTCAGAAGCTTACATGCAGCATATGAAAATGAATAGTTCAAATAGATAAAGTTGAACATAATGCTTAGAAATTTCTTAGAATATAATTTTAGGGGAAAAAATGAACATTAATTATGAGTTATACACGCATCAAGTAATGATATCCTAAGTAAGCTTGATCTTTATATTAAAAAGTTCTTCCAATTTAACAAATATGAGTAATATAATGAATAATTATTTGACTCTCTCTAAATATTATTTAGGCTTCTTTTATTAGAGATGTAAAAATGATGGCCTCACAATCCATTTTGCATGACTCTTAGAAATAGAGGTGGAAGAGACTATTTAGGTCATCAAGTCCAACTTTCCTATGCAGCATAAGGAGCCAAATTAAAGCATACTTACAATGCTTTTTGACAGTGCTATCAACTTGTCAAATATTGCAGGTACAGTTTACTTCAGTCTGAAGAATTCAGACTGTTACATTACAGACTTACATTACAAAAATACTATTATGTAAATCCTAAATAGGTTTAAAAAATCCTCAATGAATATCGCGGCATTCTCTCCCTACATATTACAGCCCTCATTCTTTCCCATTATGTTAAATTTATCCCAGGCCAACAACAACAAAATGTACGATCCTGCTCACTGAACAGGGAAGCACCTTATTCATATGTTTTGTGAATCTCTAACCAATACTAATATCCCTCATCCCATTGCTACAGTTGATTTAACTTAGTGGAGTTACTCTATAATCCTGTAATTGTTTGCCAGACTCTGTACGAATTTAATGTCCCAGGCAGTGATGACTCAAGAACAATTAAACTCTTTATGTTGATGTGGTATTAAAATGGACTCTAATTCCTATATATATGGTATTAATATTTGAGGATGGGCTACATGTTCTCACTCCTAGAATTTCCAAGCTCGCAATACCTGCTGTTAAAATGAGGTTGATGTAACACAGATGTTTTGTGATAATAGCTTCTTTTACTGCTTCAAATAGACTGGACATGCCATCACAATTCTCTTCAGAGAAAAAGCTAATACAGGGTGTCCTTTTTTCAGTGATTGTATTCATTAATCAATGTTATGATTGGATTTGCATGTTTTAATGGAAAATCTTACTTGCTGTAAGATTTCCTTTGCTTAAGATTAATATGAATGAAATGTTTATGAAAGCATATAATCGGGCACAAATGGTGTACAGTGACATGCTTTTGCAAGGAGAAACCATAACAAGATGTGACAGCAGGGTGCCATTTTATCCACTAATTATTTATTCCCCACTAGCTTCAAATTTACTGAAGCAGATTTAAAACTCCAATCAGAGAGCTGATTATATACTTGTCCACTGGAACAATTTCAAAAAAAATTCCATACACTGGACTGGTTTTCGGCATAAATCCCACTAAAACATAATGGATACTTTTCCTTTGTTGGTTGTGTTCTTCCATGACCCTACTGACTATTATATTTGCTTACCTAAAACTAAAATGCTCAATCTTTTTTTTCACCCTTTTTTCTTTTGCTGTTAATTGTAGTAATCTTTACAGTAATTTGGTTTTCTATGTGCTTCTGTTTTATCTTAGATTATAGATGGCATTCAGACTCTTCAGAACACAATTATACAAAAAGATAATAGGCTCTCCAAAGCAATGATTCATTATGGCTCTTTCCATGTCACCCTCTTAGTGATGCATCTGTCCAATGAAGAAGCAATTAGCAAGTATGTGTTTCATTCTGAAATCAAATGTTGTTTTAAAATCTGTTTTGTTTAAGATAGAACTGGGAAACGAATGACAATTGAATAGGAGTAGAAACAATTATTAATTATTTTAATATTAATTATGACATCAATTACCTAACCATTGATACATTACTAATATGGATTTCTGTAGTCCAGGAGGGGAATGATTAGTTACTTCTAGAACTAACACATACTTAGTAACTATGTGAATTGATAGGTAGCCCTGTACATTAGTACTGTACGCATAAATAGTGACATTTAAACTTACCTGGTGATAACTTAGAAATGGACACAATTAGATACTGAGATGAGCTTGTCTTTGAGATTCCATAGTGGCAGTAAGAGCACTAAAGTGTCACTTTTTCTCCACATTTATTACATTCATATATTGCTGCCCAGCTATTTCATTTAGAGTAACCTGGCTTTTTTTGAGAAAAGATGAGTGGGACAAGCACACTGGATGAATTTGTGGTTATCTTGGTTGATATCTACTTTGGGTTGGATGGTAGTTGGACAGAACCTATTCTGGTGAGCAAGTAATCTTTTAAAATTTTAATCTGGATTTCTTTTGAGTTTAGAACCAGAAAAAGTGGTTACTGGTCTCAGTAACTTGAATTATGCCAGTTGTGGACTCAGTCCATGTCCTTCCCAGGGCCTTTGGATGGTTAAGTGAGATGTGAGCAAGTTAGAAGCACCTCTCTGGGAAAGGATGTAATGGTCCTTGCTTTTAAGAATTCAGTAATGTGCTTTTGTCTGAAGAGAGCCAGCCCTTTTTAATAATGTTCACTCACTTTCTAACCTTGGTTGAGAAGTGGTGACAAATTAGCTTTGGCCTAAATGAAACAGATTATCCAGATCTTCACAGTCAAAATTTAGGCCTGATAATAGGACAGAAATGGCATAGGTTACTCTAGTTGATTATCTTTTTCTATTCAAGCTAGATTTTAACTTTCTGGTGAGTATATACTGTACTTAATGTTGATGGCACCACTAAAGTCCACTTACATACTTTTCATACACGGTTGCACTTGGCTGAGGGCCTATGAATTTTGACCAGAAAAAAATAGTTAAACTGTTTTTGGGAACTTTGTGTTCAGCTCTGACTTTTCACAAAGCAGCTAATGGCTTGAGTTTAGCAAAAATAAATCATGTGGTAAATTGGAGGATATAATGAGTCTGTGGCTGAACCTCTCAACATAACTGTGCTAAAAGCCAAAACATTTCCATTTACTTGCTTCCAGTAATTTTAGCTGTGATCTTAAATCCTACAGTTAGCAGATGTTGAATACACTATTGATCTGCAGCAAACTTACTTTTAACACAGCTTTAAGTTAAAATGAAAAAAGTGAAGAAGTTTCACTTCTGACCTAAGCAGTCTCTTAAACATTATATTTTATTTAATGGTTTATTTTAAAAAATCAAGCACTGCTTATAAAGACTTGTTTTGCTGCATCCACTGCCTTTTCTTTTCTATTCTTTTCCCTTTCTCCCTTTTCCTGCAATTTCTTTGTCTCCTCATAATTCAATTTATGCTTGTGCACTCATTATTTCTGAATGCTCTTTCAGTGCCAACTTGAAGTTCTGTATTCTGTAGCAGGAGTAGTGAAATATGCAAATGACCACTTAAAAATATTGAATATGGAGTTTCATCCTTCACTAATTAAAAAGAGGGTCCTATGGAAACAGGTTTTCTCCTTCAGTCTGTGTCTCAGCATATCATCAATTACTGAAAGCCAGTGCAGCATCTGAAATACACCATTACTTCTGGAGATAGTTAAGTTCAGTCTGTGGTATATATGAAAGTGAAAAGGAAACCTACGTTTATGAGTTTATTGTTAAATAAACTCTCTCTCTCCACTTACTGTAAAATTGGCAGCAGAATTCCTTTGCACGTGCTGTGCTAAATATACCACCTAAAAGTGGTATATTTTCCAACACCTTTATATTGGTCAAATATACTTCTAGACTTTTTTCTTCTGTCATTAGATAAAAAGTTCTTCCATTTCTGAATCTGATAGCAGTTCTTCTCTATGCCCCATATTTTTTATTTTGATAGCCATCCAATTTTATAAAATGATCACCATTTTATAAAAGTTTGGATGATGGCCCTAGTCTTCTTTGACACTTACAATCTCAGATGTTTGTATAGCTGTTACTAATATAATTACCATATTTTTCACAGCAGTCATTCAAAGGTTATCTAAACATCTTGCTATCTTTTCATCCAGCGGGAATGTTACAGTATCATCTGGCTAGCTATGTTTTCTGTAATTGATTCATTCCAGGAAAAGTTCAGATGTCCAACCAGCTCATTTTCTGTCTTTTGTTACCCTTATCTGAGAGAAACCTATCTCCTGCAAATGGCTATTTCTTGTGGCCTTGACCTTGTGTTATCTTAACAGTAGCTTCTCCAATAAGTACATTATATATACTGGTACTTCAATTATAATAGGAGTTCAAGATGACAGCTTGCTTGTTTGTTAAGCCTAACATAATGTCACTTGAAATATTGACTTGAGTGCATTTACTTTTGTCTTTTTATCAAGAGATTTATAGATATGGTGATTAAATTTTCTTGGAAAACATAAAAGACAAATCTGAAAAAGAGACTATCTGAAAAGGGTTCATGAGACTTTTTTTAAAAAAATGGTTTATGTTTATAACTTTCCTTTACAAAGGAAAGTTTGAAACCAAAAAAAAAAGAGTAAACAATTAAATAAATCTAAGGGATAGCTTTCTGAAAATGGTCACTGCCGAAAAAATAGAAAGAAAATAAAATACTTCAAAAATCCATGTTACCTTTCAGAATCTTCAAAGTACATTCCAAGATTACATAGTGTGGACAAAAGGTAATAGATGCTAGCTGGGTCACCAGCATGATAAGTTTCTGTTGTAATGTGAGATCTAGTTAACTTCAAGCATCAGAATTCTCAGTGAGAAAGAGGATTGCCCCCCCTCCCTCCCCACGCATATAGCAGAACTAGAAGCAGAAGTGAGAATTATTCATGCTTTGCTTTTGTGGTTGCTGTCAGCAAATGAATCAACTATTGCTTAGTTTAGAGGCTGCCAATAGAAGATCTCTGAGACAGTTAAGTTGTAGGATAGCTAAGAACCATTTGCATATACAGGGTAGAAAGTGATTGGGAGAAATTTGGGTGGGTGGCTGAAAGCATAGATAATGTTTAAGAAAGTATAAAGAATAGTATAGTCCTCTGCTAATATATACCTCTTTTTTGGATATCAAGACCAGGCAGTTATTAGTGTTCATGCAATTTGATACTTATTTAGAAATTATAAATCTGGTGTGAGTGAGTTTTGGAGCTTCCACCATTCTTGGTTGGGAGAACTGTATATAAACCATTCTTTGTTGGTTTCTTCACCATGTAATACTTACTTGTTCACACGTGCAGTCCAGCCAGTTACTCTTATACAGACCCTCCTTATCAGAAAATGGGAAGAAAAACCACTCTGATGTGGTTGGTTCCTATACTTGTGTTGGATTGAAGTAAAGAGCTGCCTTTACTACAGAAACTAACCAACCCCTGCCTCTTTCCTTAGGATGTGGGCAGTGAAAGGCCTTGAGTTTCTTCGTAGAATCTAATATTCAAAACAATCATGTGGAGAAAGTTGCTGTATGTGAACTAAGCCTCGAAACAGTCTTATCTTACTGCGTTCATATTCCAACTTTTTCTAAAAACTCAAGTTGGTTATGAGACCCATCCAGACTCCCTGGTAAAAGAGGGATTAAAATTGGGTCTTTGTAGTTCAAATCCAAGAGCTTATCCGTTATCCAGGTTTACTGCTTCCTGTTTTGTTTTCTTGTTCTTTTTCCTATGAAATCCATGATTTTACAACAGTAATTTTAAAGCTGTGTTCTAGAAAACAAGTTATTATTTTGCTGCCCTTCTCAATGAATTGGAGTGAGCATGTTTCCTTGAAAACCAGTTCCTAGCTGTTAATTCTTCCCTGTACTGTAGTTGCTGTGGGAGATTATTAATGTATTTATAGGCACAGTTATACATTGAAATAATATGGCTTGAAAAGTATGACATATGTGATCTCCAGGACATATCATGGGAGCCTCTACAATTCACATCAATATTGTAGCAAAGCCCTTCAGAGTTCACAGTAGACAATAAGGAATGGAAAGAGAAAGCTAGAAAATGATTCATTTAAAGGAAATGATTTTCAGAACATATATATGCCTTATTTGTGTTGATTGTGTTCCATGTTACTATCCCGAGCCATGGATTTAGTAGCTATCTTGGTAATTATTAAAGGAACTAATTGTATATCTTACCATTTTCTTTGCTTAAGGCATACTTTGAGTCAAAATGCATTTTTACAGTACAAAGTATGAAAGGAGAGATGCTTGCTTAAAAGGTAGTTACTGCCACCTAGTGATAGTTATGTGAATACAATGGCAACAATAACAACAACAAAGGTTTTAAAGACCTTAATAGGCTTAATAAGGCTGAAATCTTAATGATGCCTACTGGCAGGAAATCCCATTAATTATTTTTTAAGCTGTATTGTGTTTTAATCTTATCCTTTTCTCACCAGAATAATACTGAATTATAAGATTTCAAAAACCAGGGTCCTGACCCAAGCTTAACCATATCATTTTGTAATTTGCTCTGTATCCAATTCTCCCAAATCCTAGTTTGATACTTTTATTTCATTCATAACACTGAAAGAACAAGAATTAAAAAAAAAAACCAGTGCAAGACAGATGAGTTAAATTTTATTATTTTTTTCTATGGCAAAAATTGTTCTAGAAATATTGCATTAGGCAACTTGATCTGAAACCGTACTAGGGAAAAGACATTTTCCTGTTTTGTGTGTTAGAAAAAATGTGCACAATATGTGCAAAGATTGCCAAGATGGGCAACAAGGCAAGGCTGAAATATCACTGATGTCTTCCTTGCCTTCAGTCAAATTGCAAGCCTACAAGAAAGCATTGTGGCTTTCTCTGGATTTATCTATATACTGCTAAAACTGTTGTATCTGTAAACTGGGCAAAACAGTGTATTGTAGTGCAAAAGTTTTTCAGCCAAGGTTTCTCAAACGGGCTAACTTAAAGAATGAGTCTAAAATCCAGGATCCATGACTCCTGTGGAACTGAGATTTCACAGAACATTTTATGACATAAAAATGATCAGAAAGCATTTCATGTCACAATATACAATGTCATAAAACATTTCCTGTGATCAGCTCCTGATATTTGACAGTTTAACATGGGCTCCTTTGAAGGCGGATGCATCTTTTTAAATCTTAGAAGAACTTTTCACACATATTAGAAGCTCTGCCATTATTATTTATTTATTTATTTATTTAATTTTTATACTGCCCTTCTCCCGAAGGACTCAGGGTGGTGAACAGTCAGAATAACATACATATAATGTGAAATAAAAACAATTTAAAATAATTAAATCAATTTGGCTCATCAGTTAAAATCATCAGCATAGAATTTAGACAATTTGAAAATTTATGCCAGCCCAGCTTGGTGAAACAGAAAGGTCTTTAGTGCACGACAGAAAGTACAGAGATCTGGGATCATTCGTATCCCTGGGGGTATCCTGTTCCAAAGGGTGGTGCCCCCACAGAGAAGGCTCTCCCCCTGGGAACCACCAGTCGACATTGCTTTATTGATGGCACCCTGAAGAGGCCCACTCTGTGGGAGCGTACTGGTTGGTGGGAGGTTATCGGTTGCAGAAGGTGGTCTCGTAGGTACCCAGGTCCTAAGCCATGGAGCACTTTAAAGGTAAGAACCAACACCTTGAAGCGCACTCGGAAGACCACCGGAAGCCAGTGCAGCTCGCGTAGGAGAGGTGTTACATGTGAGCGCCATGTCGCTCCCGTAATCACAATGTTTAAAGCATTGAGGACTCTGGTAAGGAAATATCTCTGAAATATCTCTGGGCTTTTACTTCAGTCCTGGCACCGCTGCTGCCAAGGAGTGGCAGCACCTCAATCCCCACACCACTGCCTGCCACCACAACGCAAAGCCCCTGCTGCCCTGTGCTCTGCAGGCCCTGCTGCTCCCCGGCTGACCTTTGCTGTCTTCTCCTGCTGACAAGGCATACCTGGCCTAGCCCTACGAGAGGGAGCTGTTGGTTACCCCAGGCCTTCCTAAGGCCACTCACACAATTCTCCAAATAGCATGCATCATTCTTGTGTTGCTTTGAGAGGCTTCTGAGGCCTTCTGAAACCTCGTGAGAAGGCTGCACCCATCATTCTCCAAATAACGCATGCTGGTTCTTGCAATGCTTCAGAAAACCTTCCAAAAGCTTCTGAGATCTTCCAAAGCATCATGAGAATGTTGAAAGCTATTTGGACAATGACAATCCTTTTTTTTTAAAGCGATGCAAGTGGCCTCATGAAGAAGGAAGGCCTGGTGTGGCCAGCAGCTGCCTTGAGTAGGGCCAGGCTTTGCATTCCTTGTCAGCAGTGGGAGGAAGACAGCACAGGTCAACTACGCACAATAGGCTTGAGAGTGAGGCAGCCGGTGAGATTGCTAAAGGCCCAAGTCTCTATTTCAGCCTCAGCATTTCTGCCACCACCGAGGAGTGTCAGTGTGCAAAGTGGCCAAAAAAGGCAGAAATGGGGGTGGGGTAGGCAAAGGAGGAATTGAAGCATCCTGCAATCCTAACTTTTTGTGAGCTGCAAAGCACTCAAATTCTGATCATGTGACCATGGGGGCACTGAGATGGCAATAACTCTGGGAACTGGCTATAAGTATTGTTCATTGAGTGCTGCTATGACTTTGGTCACAGAACCAATGACCAGTAAGCCAGAACTACCTGTAGCAAATCAATGTAGTGATTGTAGTATTAAGTCAGATAGATAGATGATAGATTGATAGATTAATATATATATATATATATTATTTTCTTTCTGATAGTGGTGTTGGTGCTTTCTTGGAGAGTGGAGGTTTAATTGAAGAATTACTGCAAGGAAAGCCTTTGAATTTATCTTTTCAAGGTACTGATCACTTCAGAAATCAAATTGGATTTGTAAAGTTGACTGAGGGTGATAACACAACCACGCTTTTAAAGATAGCAGGTAAATCTTTTTTTAATATTATTACAAAGTAGCCTAATTTTTTTCAAACAATGTTCTTTAGATGTAGCTGCTACATTAGTCCTTGAGCAAGCTTGATCCATTTGTGAATCTGGAATTAAAGAGAACACAAAATAATAGCTGTAGAAATGGAGATAATATCACTATACTATCACTCCTATAGAATGATTGGCAACTACATGATCATTCATCAATTCAAGAAGGATTAGATGCCCAATCTTGATTCAGATATAATCTGAAGCTTGAGATTGCAGGATATGAGAACAAGCTGAGATACACTTTGGGCACCTATAATCCTTTCTTATTATTTTTATTTCATGCCTACAAAAATGAAACCTAATCACAGTTTTCTGTGATGTCTGTAATTGAGGGGCTCATACTGTTGAGGCTAGACGTAGTCTAAAAACACAGTTTGATTTTGGGTTGGGTTTTGTTTTGGGTTTTTTTGTAACATTGCTTTTAAGCAGCTATAGATCCCCACTTTTCCACATTGTGGAAATAATTAGTTTTCACAGATATGGAACAAGTTGCAGACATTAACATATGATTTACTAAAATTCTTTTTATAACTGGAAACTATTATTTTTATTACATCAGAAACTGAGATAACAGTAAATGAAAGATTATCATTAATATACTGCAGTGATAGACCACTTGCATGTAATGCACAATTGTGTATCCATCGTCCAGTTATGAAGAGAGCAACAATCATCATCTACAATCACAGAGCTAGAGGTTTCCATAGGCAGAGACTCAAATTCATTGGTAATCTAAGCATCTAGAAACCAACCTCCATATTAAGGAAAAAGCCACAGAAGAATAAGATCTGCTACTGCTGTCACATCCGTGAGATCCTGTTTGAAGGTTACAAAGCCAAGGGTTCTACATGAGATTGGCTGGACTGCACTGAGCAATAAGGCATCCTATGTAGATAATGCTTCAAACACAGAACTCTGCCATAATCACTAGCTTTCCCATTGTAAGTGATTCTCAACCCATTTTAAAACCACCCTGTGATTGCTATACTTTGTCTTCTCCATTTCCAGATCTAAACCACTTTTAGTTTAATGTCTGTATGCTTGTGGGTGTAGAATTTAAAAAGAGCAACTTCTGAGCTGGACTATGTCTGAGGCCACAGAAGGAACAGCCAAAAAGGACTCGCCCTGTATACTTCAAATCTGCAAATTGCTAAGTGTTCCCTCCCAGAGCTTTCAGGGCTCCTGAGATTTTTTTTTAGAAAGCCTTTCCTTTTCCTTCACCAAAAGAGGAGTAATTAAGTTCCTGGGCATCCTTGCATAAATGTGTTTGTACATTGTGCAGACACATGTACTGCACTTACATAGTCTGCATGTGCACATTTATCAGTTGGATTGTAAAACATTCTTCCTTAAGATCTAATTCATTTTGAAAGTATTAAAAATGTACAGAGAAGCCTAAAAAATCTTACTCCATAGCTCTACAGCTCTACAGGATCCTTCAAGATGAAATGTGTATTTCCTGAGAGCAGCCCCTGAGAGCTTTGCATGGCTAAGATCTTCAAGCCAGCAATACTCATAAGAGCTTTTTTCCTGTTGGATTGTGTGAAATATGAACTGGGAGGTGAGGGGCAGTCACAGGAGTATCCTTAGTGAAAAAAGCACAGCAAAACATGGACTCCTACAAGTTTCGTCAGTTGCTTAAGTGTAAAGAAAACAGTTATTACTTCAAGTGTATCAAGGAAGTAGAATTCTTAGCTTAAACGTCAGTGGAGGTTTGTAGTTGGTATCTTATGACGGTGGGGGATGTGTTCTGTAGGATTTATTTCATGTTCTACATACATGTTGATATTTGTGAGAGGGTGTAAAATTCATGAAGGTAGGAATGGGAAAGGAAGGTTCAATGGAGAAAGTAGTGTCAATGATACTGTGTTTCCACGGTATATAAGACCCTGTCTTATATTTTTTTGAACCCTGAAATAAGTGCTTGGCCTTATTGCATGCACTCAAAAGCCCGATTGGGCTTATTATCAGGGGATGTCTTATTTTGGGGGAAATGGGGGTATGATTTTGTTTGATCTTCATCCTTTGGTGATGGCAATACTGCTTTTAGGCCAATATCTTAGAAAGTTTGATTGCAATTACAATTTTGGTTGGCCGCTGAATACAGCACTTTGACTAAATAACACAGATTTATGGAGGAAGAAATTATCTCTGGCAAGTGGTCAGGATGGCTACAAACAATTTTCAGAATGAGATGTAACCTGTTATCATGTATCACTTGCTAAGAAAAGCAGGGAGAAAGTAAAGCCTATATGCATTTCTTGGGAATTGCCCCATAATTTTTGCTAGGTATATGAGAAATGAGAGATTGTAGGCATTAGATCCAATTGAATGGAACTTAAAATGGGAGCAGTACAAACGTGGTATTAAAAAACAGAAACCATCTGATAAAGCAAAGTGTTGGAAAAATAAATTAACAAAAAGATCTCAGTCTTGGAGTAAAGCCTGGAGTTTGACATTGTCCTTTTAGACTAGACTGTTCCCCAAATTCCAGTCATTTCTTGAAAAGTTTTCCTTTAAGACATTATTAGATGCAATGAATGTTCTTTTGTGCTTGAAGGAATGTGAAGTCGTACCATGCCTGAATATTGCGTGACTCACATTAGGAGAATTTTTCAAAGTTGCAAAGGCCACAGCCATCTTGATTATGTTTTGCATAGCTCAATTTAAGATTCACAGGCGTTCTATGTATTTCTCTAATTTCCAAATGATTAGTATGAAACTGGAGGATGGAGATGGGGGCAGTTTTAGTAGCATTGAAAACATTCTCAGGGAGAATGAGATAAACATGTTGTTCCACTCATGGAAAATAAAATACACATCCTTTGAAATAAATCAGGACTTATTAGAAAGGGAGCATTTTTCCAAGTTGGACCTTGGTAGCCAAAAAAAAAAGTATTTCCAGTTTTAACTCAAAAGATTCTACCCTAGTATTGTATACTGCAATACTTAAGCATTATTAAATTTTGTAGCATTATATCTCTTCGATATGACAGCCAATTTGATATGGATAAGATACAAAGTTATAAAATTGGGGATTATGTGTTCAACTCCCATTTTAGGCATAAAAGCTTGTTGGGTAACTTTGGACCAGACACTCTCCCTCAACTCTAGGAAGAAGACATTGGCAAACCACTTCCGAAATTTTGCCAAGAAAATGTTCCAAGCAGTTGTCAGGTGTCAATGACTCGAAAGCACAAACAACAAGAGCAACCTTGTATTTTAATTTTAAATCTCTAAACAAAATGTTTCTAGGAGCAATAACTAATAACCAATTATGAGAAAAACACAATAATAAATACCAAACACTCTAATGGCCCTTTGTTCTACCCAGTTATATATGTGATGTCATGAAATATCTCATGCTGTGCAACATTTTTCCTGACAACTGTATTTCTAGAAATTCACACAGTTAAAAAGTAGGTTCAAGATCTCTGTTATTATTAAGTTTTTTGAAATGGCTTAGCCAAATGAAAATGATTAATTTATATGACATTGTCAGGTGATTTGAAACTGGTGCATGCAAAAAACCAATTAAACATCACACAGCTGAACATATTCTGCATGGAGAAGTGGGAAAGAAATCTTTCCAGTCAATATCAAAAATTGATAGACACTGATAATAAATGCTTACTTGAGTTTGCTTTTGCCAAAGGAGCCAAGGAGCTTTTTCCACAAAAGGAAATTCATGTTAATTTTTTAAAATAAATGATTGCAAAGTCCATTTTTCATAATTTTTTGCTTCAATTACATCACTTTATTTTCAGATACTTCTCGAATGAAAATGAGATATTGATATGTCTGCAAATGTTAAAAAATTCAAAAAGAACTATACATGGGGTTACTTTTTTACATTGCTGTAAATATTTCTTGTTTCAGAACATTATGTGGATTAATCAAAAATAATAATAAAGTGATCTTGATGATGAACCTGGAGCAAACCATGGCAGATTATGAAATCTACATTTTTATAGAGAAACCTGTTAAAAAATGGCAAACAGTCTGAGAAAATACCTGTTCTGACCCAACCGTAGCAAGTAATGATAAGCCATGTACTCACAAGTAAAAACAAATCCTTTTTCAAACAGGGTAGGAACAGTCTTTTATTCATGTGGATAAACAAAAATCAAACGTAATTAGTCCCAACAGACCTGGTCAAGAAATCCAAATTGCTTGCTATATCCTAAAAGCGAAGGTTATCTGTGACAACTAGCCACTCCCAAACCCCTACTATTTATTTCCCATCCAGGGTGGGGCTGGCTAGCATCCACGTCTGCTTTTCCTTGAGAGCCAGCTTTTTGTTTTCCTTTGCTCTCCTCTTCTTTCCTGTCTGCGCATATGCACATCTGGGATGGGCCCCATCTGTGCCTGCTCCTCACTCAGCTCAGGCCCCGAAGACAGCTGCTTCTCCACCTGGGGGAGGACGGAAGGCCCTGTCTCTGCCTCTGATGCTGTTTCCTTATCAGAGCCTTTCAAAGGCTCCAAAGTTGGCCCAGGGTCTCTCTCCACCTCCTCCTCGTCTGACTCTGCAGCTAGCTCTGCTGGCAGTCGATGGGCCACAACAATACCTTAGATTTTCTTTCAGGATCTTTCCCCATAGATCGGAATGATTAGTGAGCTCTAGAGGAATAATTTCACTATGATTAAAACTTGAACTGTCTGCCACATTATTGCTCCTTTTTTGTTCTCTTATTTTTATTATTTTCCTCAGGAACAAATGTAACTGTTTTGGGAAATGCATTGCCAATATTTGTATAGACTTTTGAATTTCAAAAGTCATTTACTAAGTTTTAGAGCTATTTTTTAATTTGTGGCACAGCCAGCAGCCTCACTCCTCTCACTCTTCTGCACTGCGTGAGGATGCTTATGGTTTATCTCAGGGTGTCCAAGGAGGAAAGTGTCAAAGCAGAAAGGAGAAGAAGAAAGGACCATCTGCAAGGAGAT